TTCCAGAACGTTTTTTCTTCCTTATTTGATTCCTTTAAAAAATGAGATTGAAATGAGATACTAACCCTCACGAATAAATGATTAAATCTATGTCATTCTGCATCCCATCATCTCTTGAACTGATTGTATACCAGTTAATCATATAAGTGCCCAAAATAAAATACCTATAAAAACTATTAAGGTTTTCTTATTTATTATCAATCCGTACCTCCGTACATAAGGTAGGTTTAAATGTCAAAGTAAGTCGACGACTGTAACAGCCACGTGTTTCTCGCAAAAATCCAGTAGTGGACTTCTGCAAGAAGCGCTGACTTTTACACTTGACGGCTTACTTTGACATTTAAACGTGTTATTTACGGAGGTACGGAATTGATAAAAAAAATAAGAAACTCTTACTAGTCGTCATAATTATGGTTTTAGGGACACTTCATGATTTACCGGTATGCAATCAACACAAGAGATAATGGGAGGCAGACTAAAATAACTTACAATACCTTATTCGTGAGGGGTAGTATTTCCTTTCCATCTAATTTTCTGAAGGAATCAAATAAGGAAGAAAAAACAATCTTGAAGGAAACGTTGGCAGGAGTTGGTCAAAGTGGGAAGGGGGGTGTTAGGATCTCGTTCCCCTCCCTAGACAACGTTTTGTTTGCTTTGACATGCACCGTGGTTTTCGTTTAATTAACTGTCAAGCAAGTTATTTATACCGCAAAAAAGCTTCCATATATCGTCCCAGTGTTAAAGTAAGCCGTCGATTGCAAAAGTCAGCGCTCCTCGCAAAAGTCCATTAGTAAGACTTTGCTGTTGAAGAGGAAGAAATGAATTTTCCCTACCTTTTACCATGTTAAACTTTATCCTCTTTTTACCACCCACCCTACATAAAGACCATGATTTGAGTACACATTTTATTACCAAATTGAATATAGATAATATTAATCATGGGTAGTTAATTACATTTTCCATTGATAAATTGCTGTTGGCTTAATTGAGCACTCAATTGCCTATATGTACATATAATTTATCCAAATGAAGAGATGATGTGAAGGAAGGAGCAAAAAGAGGTTCTGAGAGACAAAAGAAACGAAATTTTAAAAGTCTTTAGAAAATCAAGGAACTATTTAGTTCTATCAATTCCACGTCTTCTGTGTGTGTGTTTTTTGTTTTTTTGTTTTTGTTTTTGTTTTTTTTTTTTTTCTTTTGTTCGTGTTTCCCTATAACGAAACTTACATATTCATAAAAATTACCAATATCTATTCAGTCATAAACTCAGTATCGTAATTGTGTTGTCTTCATTTTACCTATCTCCTCTACTCCAGTGCTTTCTTATTTCAACCTTTTAGATAATTTAGATGGGATGACATCTTCAGAGGAGAATCTAGCTTTCACCGACACCTACACCATTACTACGTGTGTTTCATTGTCTTTATTTCAGATACTTTTCCTAATATGTAAAAATCGCTGCCTGAATCTATAGAATAATTCATGAATTCACCGTCCAAAAATACTTATTTCGGTGTTTTGAATGTCTGGCCTGAGAGATATATCAATTGTTCTCTTCTTTGATCAAATAACAAACAGCTTCATTTTGGTAGAGGTTGTCGTGTCGTTCATCGACCATAGTCAGTACGTCCATTATCACTGTGAGCATACATCAAATATGCCCTGAATTTGCATGTCCTTATCATAAATAAAAACAGCAAAATATTTCTACAAGTTAAAAAAAAATCTTTACAAGCAAAATATGGAGAAATTTACATCAGTTTATGTTAGTTTTCAAACATCCAGGGGCCCGTTTCATCAAAAGTCGTAAATTTAAGACCTAACTTGGATGTACTTCCTGGGCTTACGCCAAGATTTAGTCGGGCGTAATTTGCGTTTCACGAAGTAGCGTAAGACTAGTCATAAACGATACGCTTAGTCTCAAGACTAAGTCCTTGACAACGCTGCATTGCACATGCGCAAAATACATAAGCATACGTATTGTGTACAATGCAACATACAGTGTTGTTCTACATACATTGTACATAATACCGTCACATGTAAATTAACTTAAATGAAAAATTACATGAATTTTTAGGGACCGTATAGAAAACATGCATCTTAAATCTACTTATTATAAAATATGAACTACTTACAACATACCATCTGATTAAACTCCAAAATTAAAGGTCTAAGTAAAGAAATTAATGTTCTTGTAAAATTAATGTATCTATTTTGGAATATTTATACCCCCTCCCCCGTCTCATCCCCCTCGATTTTGATACAGGAAGAGAGGAGAGAGAAAGAGAGAAAAAATCCATTACAATTGTATATACTTGTAATTATATGTAACTGGGCATATGATGGACTAGTCTACTAAAATATTAAGAATCGATAACATAATACAAAATATGCATCATCATGAAAAAATACAGACTTTTTTCTATTTCTTCTATGCCATTACATGTACCTTGTACGCCATTCCATTTGCTCCTAAAAAAAATTGTAGTATTTACTGTAAACTAACTATAATTCGCGTCAACTTTTATTTGCGATTAGTCGGTTTGAAATCAATCCACAACGATTAATTTTCGCGACTGAGGAAACATTCTCTACAAATACAAAGCAAATTAAATGGTTCGCGGCGATAAATATTCGCGAGTTAAAGTAGGTAGCGAAACTCGCAAATATTTCTCGCACGCGAATAAAAGTTGGTTTACAGTATTTGTTTTAAAATAAGGATTCTTTTTTTAATATTCCTGATAAAAAAGGCAAGTACCATCGATATTCATTTTGAAATTTTCAGAAATCTATCATTCATTGTTTAAACATTAACATATTGTCATACATGGACCTAATAATTGTAAAATTGCAGTCATTTCCGAGTCAAATTTCTCCGACAGCTGATTGTCAGAATCTTTCGAGTGACTAAATTTGTTGCCCCTGGTCTCTAAGGTAAAATCCTCTCTACTTTGTATTCAATATCAGGGAAAAATGACTTTTAAGCATATTAACGTAATCAACTGGAATCTTTTTCGTCTTTTGAACGTTAACAACTTATTCTGGACGCAGGTGCGGGTCCGTGATTTTTTTTCAAAGGGGAGGAGGGCAGAGTCATCAGTGAATAAAACTTCCATCTGAGAAACTTGTTGACATGCTAAAAATCGTAATTTTCTTTCCCAAACCTGAAAATCTTATTGCGGGATGGGGGTCCTTCCTTTCAATTCCTAAACTTCATAAATATGGTTCTTCCTACCAACGTACTAACTTAACTCTTTAACAGGGATCCAAGGTCATTTTCATTTCTCGCTTACTTTACTGTAGATTTGTACATAAATAACTCCGCAAATTGCTGCGAAGAGGACTGGACCCTCCCTGACCCTAGATCCATGCGTGTAAACATGAAGTAAATAAGGTATGGAGTTTTCGAGTACGATAATTTTTTTTAAAAACCTACCTGGTTTAACGATGAGTTAATTGTTTTTTTTTTTAAATATAATATTAACCATGCAAAGCTAAAGAAGATAACAGTGCTTCTGTGGAAAAATTAATTTCCCCCCCCCCCCAAAAAAAAAATGTTGGGATAAATAGCTTTTTTTTTTCAAAATAAACTTGTTTAATAGGTTTCTTTTCAGTGAATGACAAAAAATGTATATCGCGTAGTGGATTTACAATACCTCATACTCAAAATACAACAATCAAATGCGTATAAATGCAGGATTGTCAAAACTTAAGAGATGGTGTTGAAAATAATCCCTAAAAAGGCAATCTTTTATGAAGAAATTTATTAAACTAAGTTATAAATACTGCATGTCAGTTATCTCCCCGGGTGGGTGTACCCCCTCCCCAATTTCCGCTCCCCCAAATCTTCATAGTTAAAAAGACTTTTGAGAACCGTAATTCTTCTTAAAGAATGTTTAAATCGTTTTCAAATCAGTAAAGCCACTTTATTTTATGTTTACGCTCGAACTTACGCCTACCCATGAGTAGACGTAAAATTTTGGCCTAACTTTAGTCCAGTGTAGAGATACGCTATTTAATGAAACGCAAATCTTTGTGCTAGTCCCGAAATTACGCCGGCGTAGCGCTACGACTGGGCGTACGACCTTTGATGAAACGGGCCCCAGTTGTAGTACAATAACATTTACTCTGACTGCAAAATACTTTGGGAAAAGGTCAATTAAATGAGTGCTACAACTTGTTATCCAAAGTAACATATACTTTTTAAGCTGCTATGTTGAATCATAGAACTCTACAATATATTAATGATAAGAGACTTTACATTTCACATTTCTTTACATTTTTAAAACTTTTAAACATATAAGAAAAATGACAGATTTTTTTTTTCAAACCAGATTCTTTACTTATATTTCCATTTATAAGTAACTTAAATTACATGCTGATACTTCAAATATGCTTTGCTGAAGGTCTTATCATAGGGTCAGCTTTCAAACACAATGTTTTCTTCCACCACAGTGACATAGATGTGCAAGTACACTTAAGTTCAAATTACAATTTTTAAGGATACAAGAAAAATAATGATAATGATTGCATAAATGAATACTGTTTCCTTTATTTCTCTCTTGTACTATCAGAATTTTTTTTTTCAAAATAAAAATTCTTTAAAAGAATAACAGTTTTTATAAGAGGGTATGATTGTCAAACTTTGATTATCTTCTTTGAATTGCTTTTTAACAAAATTAAAGATTAAGCACGCACCAATACATACACTACATTGCCCTTTTATGTAAACCACAAAAGCTGGTTACTACATAATGTGTGATTCTATTCCCATATGTTCATTGAGGTCAAACATTTTATAATGCCATGTACGTAATGTTACATCAAAACGATAAATCAATTATGCTTGTACTTTTTATTCTGTTGTAACATGAAACTTTTACTGATTGTTTAAAATAAACATCATTGGAAATTCGCCTCATATATCAAATGCTCATGCATAAGGAATTCATCAAAACGGAATCGAATTAGGAATTCCACAATTAAATATAATTTAAAAGAACCAACAAACCATTTACACGTAAAGAAAACGATTGCAAACGTAACAATGAAGAGCTTGTTGGTTTTTTGTGTTTTGGTGCTCTGTGTAGGATCAACTAATGCTTGCACATGTGCTGGTATACCAACAAACGGATGCAATTCACAATACTGTAAGTTATCATTCAGAATATAGTTCTATTTTTTATTGTTTATACATATACAAGGTATTTAGTGATTTGTCCTCGATAAACGCAAATCAAAAGAAAACGTTCTTCTTCTTCGTAAAGATATATATATATATATATATATATATATATATATATATATATATATATATATATATATATATATATATATATATATATATATATATATATATATATATATATATATATATATATATATATATATATATAATTTATATATATAGAAAAGAAATTTCAATGTCTTCGGAAATAAAAATATAACTAAGACAAGAGGTAAATGCTGAGGAAGACTTCTTTTTTTTTTTTTACTTTTTTTACTCTAGCCATATTAGGACAGGTAATAGGACAGCGAGTACTTGAACCTGGAATAAATGGTGAAAATCTTTACTGGGTTAGAGTGTTCCAAATATATAAGGTATGTATTTAGAATTTAAGAAACATTTCTTAACTTTTACGTCCTTCATACTTGTATTTTCATTGAAATTTAGGATAAGTGCTATAAAAAAGTGTATTGGATAACTCTTTTAAATTGTTACATGTACATAGATATAAAGCATTGGTAGGCATCACTTACCAGAAAGACTTATTTATGTATACTATCATATTGCTATTTTTGTATGAATCTATTTGCAAATCTCAGAAACCACTTTTACAATATGTGTAAAAAATAATAATTTCTTTTAAATTCCTTATTTATAGAATCATAAACTTTAAACAGTTACATATAAGAAATAGTTTTCCATAATTCAGAATGATTTTTTTTAATATTCATCTGTCTATTAAAAAGGATACACATCCAAATTTTACATAAACAAAGTGCATGCACACATGTAATAAGAAACCTGATTTTTAAATGAGAAGATAACAAATTAGTTTTGTGTTGATTTCTCGATGTTTACAACTGAATGTAAAAGTGAAAGGTCATTTTTCCTAATATGAATGTCAATTTCTGGATGTCTTTATGCCTGACGTAAGTTGGCGGAAATTATGGGAATAAACAAGGAAGACCTATCTATTAGACAGCATTTTATGTACATTTCTATTTATGCAAATTATCCCCATCGTTGATGCCCTGGCATACTCAACAAATTAGACAGTGATGCCTTAGTGGTGTGCATTGTTAAGTATTTGGATACCTTCTCTCAAATCAAGAAAATATTTTTAACTGGATTAAGATAACACCGTCCGAATATAACCAAGAGGAATAAGAATGTAGGTTTTATTAATTTATTACGTAACGAAAAAGCAATTGCAGATCTGAAATATACACACAAAATACAATATCATATATAAACTTTGATAATAATTGATACAAATAACTTACTTTTTCTGAGGCAAAAATAACTCAATTCACTTCAAAAATAGGAAAATTTAGCTTAACTCACCCTAAAAGTAACATTTTGATAGTTTAAAAACGTTGTTTTAGAAATACCAAAAAAGGTTATTAATAATACTTATTATTAAAAAAAATTCAAAATAATATAGACAAAAATTTACCTTTCAAGTGGTGACAACGGGCAGTAGGTCAGTTGTTAAGAGTTAAATTTCCCTCACTGATAGGAATGGACACGTGCAACAATATCTATGGAAGGAAATTTGGTTAAATAAGATTTACATGATGGCCAATGAAATTTTATGAGTAGACTTCATGAATGAAAGCAAAAACACGAATTGACTACTAGCAAATATGATATATCGTAAATAATGGCTTAGCTAGTTCTTAAAAAAAGAAGAAAAATTATTTTAAAAAATATTACTTTGCCACATGAATTTAAAGATTTTCAAAGAGATTAGAAAATAATTGATTATTTTTATATACTTTAAAAAATTAATAAGTAACAGTATGCACTACAAATGTAGGTTTAAAAAGTTGTTTATTTATTTGAGAGGATTATTGATATCCAAAGCTATTTGGGGACATTTAGAAATAAGTTACATTAATCATTTTTGAATAGGCTGAAAGACCTCTTCCGTACATTGGGAGTGGCATTATACAGATACGGGCGTATACCGGAGGTTCACTTTGTGGTGTGGTCTTCACAACAGGGCAACTCTACGTCATATCCGGTAAAAATTACATCTATTATTACATATTTCTTTCTATTATACAAAATATCCATGAACTTTACATTCCCTATGCTATGCATAATGAATCATTATACAGAGAGATATGATGTATTTCTTGAGGTATAATGATAATAATTGCAATGTTCATCAATAAAAATAGATAACATACATGTATTGTCTTTCCACTTTGTAGGAACCTATCGTGATTTTACTTTGGGAGCCAACTCATGTGCATACGTCAGACAATGGGATCAGATTCCTCTCTCAGAAAAGTGGAATCTATTTTGTAGAAGATTTTGATTAAAACCTTCAGTTATCTAATCGTATTCAGTTATGATTTGAAAACGAGTGGAGCTGTTTAATGATATGATCTTCTAATTGATTCAGTTCAACCCACTTTTTGTATTTTAATGTTTTATTCTCATTATTTGTGCTGGAAAGAAACATTATTTATTTTCTATCATACATACTCAAAAATTCTCTCTCCGAACTTTGTCTCAGGGCGTCTTTAAATTTGTTTTTCTGGTTGATAACGTAGAATTCTTTAATTTGGGGCTTAAAACATTTGAGATTTTTCAATTCTTGCAAAACACGGAAAAAATGATCACAGACCAAAGAATATTTGATAAAGTAGAATTCATTATACTGAATCAAGCTTATACAAACCGATAATTAAGTTTTCGTCTCTCCTCTCTCTGAATCATTATTGGAATTTTAAAAACAAGTACTTTTGATACATTTTATCTCCTTGTAGACAGTATGAACATTTAATAGGCCAGATTTTCAAGGGATAAAACTTTATAAAATGTGGGGTAAAGATATCCCATCCCTTCCTGACATCATTTTAATATAACCCCTTAATTGTTTGGACATTCCACATAGAATTTACGATAATACTTTACAAACTCAAAAAATGAGGTAAAAACTGGAAATTCCACGTAACGATTGTGTAATACTACAAGAATTAAATAGCGTGATTGTTGGACGACAAATGCTCATATCAAATGATTTTTTTCTATGTTAGACTTAGGTAGAAAATGCGTCGTATTTTGAGGTTGCGCTGCCTGGTTATACCTTTGATTACTATAAAATACACGATTTTTAAGACATTTGAGTAATGATTAATTCTTTAGATAGAAAGATGATGCTCACTAAATATATAAAAATCAATAAATGTGCCTAAAACGGTTTTAATTTTATGGTGCTAGTCCACGAACTTTTTGATAGCCTCTCGTTCCTAGCATTTACTTCATGAAATATAGAAATATCGAATAGTTTTCAAGGTCAAAAGTCTTTTTCTAGTAAAATATCCAAATATGAAATAGATGTGTCCGACTCTGTACATTTAGTATCTTTTATTTCAAGTTCACTAGGATATATCGAATCGACATATGAATGGAAGTAACTACTGTTAATTGATAATACGTCGTCAATATATCTAAATGTCAAGTTGAAGGTCACAGAAGTGTTTTCTTTTTCTCATGTAAAAGTTCTTTAATGAGTTATAAAATATCATAATAATATTATCTGTTTCTTAATCAGGTTTCTAACCTTATTTTAGAGATGTTGATAGGCACCCAGTGTCATACAGCGTCTTAATAGATTCTTGATTTTTCATTTTACAAGTCCATTATTCAGCCTATAATATAATTTTAAGAACAGACTATAAAAACAGATTACATGTTTTGTGACATGGCCATTTTAACATTTTGACTATGAATTACTCCATTGCCTTAACAATACAGAGGACTCATGGCGGATGTGACCAGTCAACAGGGATTGCTTACTCCTCCTAGACATCTGATCCTATGTCTTCAGCGATCTTATTAGCTATCCAGGTTCAATCGATCCCACCTTATGTCTTCAGCGATCTTATTAGCTATCCAGGTTCAATCGATCCCACCTTATGTCTTCAGCGATCTTATTAGCTATCCAGGTTCAATCGAGGTTGCCCGGGGGTTTATTAAAAGTAACAGCATAAAGAGCCCCCGTAAAAGTAAATAAGTTAATGTCATAAAAAAAAATGAAATTGTTAGTATTAAATATTGATTGTGACATATGATGGTTCGTCCAGGATATCACAATCAATATATGATACTAAAATTGGAGAGATTAAAGAATATGGTTAAACTCTTACTTGATAGGTGCTGACTTTTACTGCACCAGTGCATTAACTTGTTATTTTTTTTTTTGTTTTGTTTTGAAAACTGCTCTAAGGGCAATTTTTTTTTTCAAATCAAGGTCAAGACCATACAATTTGGACACAGCTGAAAAGTTCTCTCAAATATGTTTTAGTTCATGTGTGTAGATAAAAATATTTCGAATAGTTTCTTTGAAACTGAGTTAATATAGTCTTAAGGAGAGGCAGATAGACGGAAGACAGACACGTCAATCGCTACATCCAGCTTTATTCATGGCGGTGCATAAGAATGGGGAAACAATGATATGCATCATGGAACAACATTGCTGCATCATTTGACAAGATGTACAATTGACTTTCTGAAATGTCATAACCAAATATTTTAATTTTACGAATATCGAAGACATGCCACTGTCTGGTCATTTATTGTAATGTATATAATTTTGTAATATTGAAGGAAAAGGGGAAAGACTGAAATAAGAAGGAACGTCCCATTTACCAGGTGGAGGACGTTTGTTTATGATTGGATTAGTTCATTTGTGGGATAAACCGGGAAACAAAATAGTAAAAACACTAAGTAGTTCATTGCGTTGGTGTTGTCTGCCCATATACAATATGTTATTAAAAATGAAATAAAATTTCTAGTCAATTAAAAAATCAAGCTCAAGAATGGGGATAAAAAAATTTATTTTTTCCATTAAAGTTATCATACCCATGCTATAGAACAATCCAAGGAAAAGGCACGGAGATGATTTACACATGACATTTCGCTCGAAATGATTGTACGGACATGTCCATGTAACATATCCGTATAGGGAATCGCAAAGAATAGAAAGGTGCATAAAAAAACTAGAGGAAGTAACCACATCATTTTTTGCATCAGTAATACGCCTTTTTTTTCTACTGCAAACTGTTTTTGTTAAAATAAGGTTAATAAATTCCGACGTAAATCAGCTTGCATAAAATCTAGCTCACAAAGTACATGTTGTGATCTCTTAGTTTCGGATCAAGGTAAAAATTGATCCTTAAGCTCGTGGCGTCAGGCAATAATACGCTGGTAGTCCAGCAATAAAGTATGGCGATTGTGAACTGATGATGACGCGGGACAAAGAGGGCGATATGCATATGTATCTTTTTGCTAATTTTAACAGTTATATTTTAATATATAATGGAGATCAAAATAAAAGTTGCTTGTAAATAGAGTTGTCTCTAAAGGTCAGATACTAGAGGTACTGTCAGCACAGATCTCACAAAATGGTTTCCTCCGTTCTAATAAAAGTTATAATGGCAAAGTCCATTTTTTGCCATAGGGAACCCCCAAATACCTATACGATTTGAACATGAAATAGGAGTTGCCCAATAGCACTATGAAATAAAGATTCTGTGAGTAACCCATTTAGTTTTTTCCCAGTGTTTTCTTGACGACGTATTATCCATTAACAATAGTTACTTTCATTCAAATGTCGACTCGATATATCCCAGTGAACTTGAAATAAAAGATATCAAAGAGGGTGACACTTTGCTACTTTAAATAGGAAAGTTGGCATTATTCATAATTAGTGCACCCTGTATTTCAAACAATTAACATGCTCAAAAATTTTAAGGAAAGTTGTAACATAAATGCTGTAGATGAAATATTCTGCTGGTATGAAGCAATGTTTTAATGGATAAATATCTTCCTTCAAATTAACTTTAATTTTCAACAAATCTTTATTTTCTATAATGTATTGAAAACGTTTAAGCTTGGGATTCTTACTCCTCCATGGCACCTTATCCTACCTCGCAGTAACATACATTTACACCAACCTACATAATACGATATTGGAAGCTATTAAAAAGACCATTAAGAGCCGATAATCATTCAAAAGTGTATGATAATATGTGTTTTGTTACGTAGTAGAAAATAATAAATGAACACCGATTTAAACACGACGTTGCCCTTATACTGTTAAACACAAATTCGTTTTGTTTAAAGTATTTTAAAAAAAGAATACAAAACGTTGATTATGGTCAAATTAAAACAATTCATTATGCTTTGTACGTAATGTTCTGTCAGAATGATGATTAATCAATTCATCCTGTAGTTTACAGAACATCACATGTTTTCTGACTGCTTAATTGATATAGGGACTTAATTGGTAATTAACCTCATATGTCAAGTAATTTGAAATTATAAAAGCAGAGGCAAAATGGGATTTCCCCGAGTAAATAGATTCTAAAATATGGAGCAATCATTTGAAGTTTTAAAACATGAGTGCATACATAGCAATGAGAACCTTGTTGGTTTGTTGTATTCTGATGCTCAGTATAGGAATACATGTAAGTAATGCTTGCAGATGTGCAGGAATACCAATATAGGGATGTAATTCACAAAATTGTAAGTTATCATTATCAATAAACTATTTTATCTCTGACTCGAAGGGATATGTATTTTGGATATTTTCTTTGGAAAATAAAATATGTGAAATAAATTTCACATCTTACTTCATAATATCAAATATCCTTTCTAAGTCTTTTTTAAAGTTATTTCTTTTTGTACCACACAAAAGGTTATCCTTATTTTGTTTCCTATTATAACACTTTAGCCATACTGGAACAATATATAGGACAACAAATGCAAGTAATTGAACCTCGAGTAAATAGGGTAGAATCTTTGCACGGTTAGAGTGTACCAAGTCTATAAGGTATGTTTGGGTACTAGTATTAAAGACACTTTTTTTCTTTTACATCATTTATCAAGTTGATTTTCTGTTGATTCGAAATGCAAGAGCATATTCTATAAACGAACAATCTCCATTACAAGGCGGACTAGTGGCAAATAAATAGTAATGTGAATAATTTTGTATAAACAATTGTTTGTAAATACAATCTATTATTAGGTCGTGTGTTTACTTTTTCACATAAACTGTTAAGTCATTAATTACACACTAAATTTCAACGTGTTTATCGTTTAATTCTATTCATTTAATACACTAACTATCTATGTAAAATATTCTCTGTTGTACCTACTTTACGGATATTAAGACTTGAAAAAATAGGATCTCTCTTTTACGCGGATTTCATTTTCTATTGAACCTTGAAAATGACATGATCTGCATAAGAAAGGCTGTATAAGGGGGAATAGCACATTATCATGTAGGGTATTTTAGAGGAAAGAAAACTTCCAAATACAAATATAATAAGA